GTGGTTCAAGTCCAGGTCACTGATTGGATGTGCAGGAACAGTGTTCTTTTGAAAGAGAAAGGGGAAGTAGGAGAGAAAGTATAAGGAAGGACAGGTGGACAGATGGACTGACAATAGGCTCAAGGTTCAGGTGCCTGGAGGCACTTACCGAAACAACTTATGTCAAAGAAACGCTGTGAGTGAGTAGCTATTGTTATTTTACTCGATACACTCGCTCACTGGATGCCATTACAGCTTATGAAATGAGTCTTTGCAGCGTGAATACATTGCATATTAGTCCAGCTAAAGATATTATCATACATGTTATCATTGACAGATAATTTTCTGTGTTTGTGTCCCTTAAATGTTTTCCTTCTAATTATTTTTAGTTATGCCAATCTAATAACAAAAAAGTATTTGCTCAGAATGTAATTTATGGTAATGGTGTCATTCCTGGGTGGCTCAGCATTGTTCACACAGGGTTCTAGTGCTGTGGGAGCTTGAAGTTTCTCCTGTTCCATCGAGCATCCGGGCACCTTTCATTCCCTTCTCTCGTTAGTGTAGTGTGCAGAGTGAGGCATGACAGAACTTCCAGAAGAATCTGAAGCAGCTTATCCCTGGTGGTTAAGAACCAGCAGAGTGAGATGCCGAGCTTTCATATTGACTTCTATTTTGGCTTCTTATACTCAGCCTGAAATCCACTCTGAAGAAATGGTCTTTGTTGGCATTTGCTTCAGTCTTGAGAGAGTTTGACTGAACTGCACGTCAGCTCAGAATTTGAGCATATGTGCACTCTTCACTGGCTCCTCTTTCAAATGTAACCCTAACTCCTAAAGGAAATATCCTGCTTTCTTTGTGTGTGCAAACCAAACACTGGTAGTTTTTTCTTCTTAGGATCAGATGGGATCATTTCACACCACATTGGAGGTTTTTTCTCTTTCCTCAGTGCCATTTCCCAGAACAAGTAATCGTGTTTTTAGATTTTTCCCTTCTCAGGATTAATTCCCTGATTTTCTACACTGTGGCATCTTCTCCAGGATTTGGAGGGAAATCTCATATTGGGGACCTAACCATAGATCCCCAATACCTTTCACAGCCTTCCCCTCGGGAGCTGAGTACCAGTCACACAATTAGCTCCTGTGACTTCCCAGAGTTCTTGATGTGGACATACAGACTACCCAGTCAGGCAGCTACACTTTCCATGGAATTAACTAATGAACTAATTCATTGACCATTTTCTGAGTGTCCCAGAGTGCTAGTTATCAGAAATATAAGAATGGGAAAGCTGCGGTTTCTGTGCTCAAGATGCTGATGAGCCAATGTGAGGAGATGAGCCCAGAAATCTTGGTAAAACATGTAGGTCACAGGGGAAGCAACTTTGGGGGCTTACTTAGCAAAGCCTAGGGGGAGATGAGAAATATGGAAAAACCTTCTACTATATTTTCTGAAAGTTCTTCTTTTGCTTCATAATAAATCAAGATTCTGTTTGTTGTTTGTGTTTTTTATTCCCCCAGAGGGTGTGTGTGCTCTCCAGAGAGAGGGAGAGAGAGAGAGAGAAAAAAAAAAGAGAGAACTTTCTGAGAGAGAGAGAAAAAAAAAAAAAAAGAGAGAACTTCCCATCCCCCTCCAGGGGCTTGAGTGCATGCAATCCATTCTCCATTTCTCCATCTCATCAGGATGTTTCTCAAGCTACCCAGGCTGGGATTCGAACTGCGGTTGGCCATGTGGGCCATGTGGGCTCCAGCTTCCAAAGTACAGTGCTTATTCACTGTGCTTGATTCGAACTGCGGTTGGCCATGTGGGCCATGTGGGCTCCAGCTTCCAAAGTACAGTTCTTATTCACTGTGCTACAGGGATGGCCCAGATTCTGTTTTTAGTATATAAGGTACTTTTGTACATTGCCTAGGTTTTTCATAAGTATGTGCTGATGGTGAACTGTATGATTTTATACTATTACTGATTTACCACAAGTAGCTGCAACTAAAAATTTTGAATTAAATGTTAATTAGCTTATTACTGATTTTTGGGTGTGTCTATTTGTTCTAACATATACTAGATAACATGTAAGGGAAGAGAAATAGATCCAGTTTGATTCTTGTGTTTCTATAGGGCCCTATCTGACTCACTGCACTGGCACTTGTTAAGAAGCCGGGAATGGACACACATGTCTGATCAAAGCTGTCTACTTTGGAAGCATTGCTGATTTTTATGGAAGATTTGAAACTGATGAGTTTAGGTATGGATTGATATGGCTTTCAGTCTACTCATCTGTGTGCTTGAGATATCTGTGTGTGTGTATGTTAATGTGTGAATGTGTATTTATATAAAGAGGGTTAGTTATTGGAGTCAAAGGCCATTTGCATATTTATTTGTGGAATGCAGGGTAAAGCACATTTAAACCCTGGTATTTAAATAAATAAGAATATCCCCAGTTATTAAGGAATATTTTGAAATTATTTGATAAAATTTTCAAAGAAATTTATTTTAATTGTGTTTAATTAAAACTGTACCATTTGAAATATTTTTAATAATTTATTTGTGAAGCAGAAGCCTGAATGTCATTCTTAGAGAGTGACATGGCCAATCACAGTTTGATTCCCAGACCTGATGGCTTGCTTTCTCACTTTCCTTCTTTCTCTCACTCTCTCTGATCAAACTAAATAACAACAACCACCGCAGCAC